AGAGAGAGAGAGATAGATATTCATATTCCTACATCTTGATGTCGAGATAATCAATTAGAAGGTTTTTAACATTAAAACAACCTTTTCCGATGGATTTTTAATATGCATATGTAATTCTACATTTTAAGGTTGCAACCTTATATAATTTTTTTTCAATAATTAATGTTCGAATCTAATTTTAAATAAAATCTCATGAATTCAAGAAAAATATATTTTCATGAATATAAGTGGTTACATTTTGAAATTAAAGGAAAGGAAATATAAAGTAAATCATCTCTTTTTTATTTGTTTTTATTTTGTAATTCTTTCTTGTTTGTTTTGAGTAGTTCATAGGATTGGAACTCGGACCTTGCTTTTACAATGTCAACACCCTCATTAATCAAGTATAAATAAGCCAGGACCCTTCAATTTTCATGAGTAGAATCAGTCCAAAGACTTTGTTCATTAGTGTGATATTTTAAAATGGAGAAAGTTTATATAAGGTTGCAACTTTAAAATGCAGAACTACACATGTATCTCAAAAATCTATTGGAAAAAGTTGTTTTAATTTTGAAAAAACCTATAATTGATCATCTCGACATCAAGATGTATGAATATGAAAAAAAAAAAGAAAAAAAAAAAAAGAAGATTTTGAGTCTCAAAAATACTTCATCTTGCAATACATTATCTATACGGTCCATTTTCAAGATTTTCATATGTTTATAGATCTACTTGATTTTAACCATTTTTAAAGTTTAAAATTTTATAATTAGATATAAAAACAGATTTTAAGATAAACCTATTAATTTTCTTCACCAAAACAGATTTTAAGATTTTCATAATTAGATATAAAAACAGATTTTAAGATAAACCTAATAACGAAGATAGATTTTGGAGGTGCGCCTTAATTGGATTCTTTAAGGTTGCAACCTTATGGAAACCACACCCTTTTAAAATGCACATTCTTACTTTCATTTTCATGTTCCTTATAGTGCCAAGACTTGTTCTTTTCTTGCACGCAACTGTATGACTTTGAAATTAAAATCTTATGTTGATTTTTATCCTTTCTAAAATGCAAGTGATTGTTGTTTGTCATTTCCAAGACACGTTCTTTGTTATTAATGAAATCATATCGCATTTTTTATTATCCTCAACAAATCTGGACTTTTTCTTCATTTTAGGTGGTAAAAGTGGTGGGCTCCATGAAGTATTGAGTTTTATTCTTTATCACGTTAGGTCATGAGTGGGGGACCCATAACTAACACGTTGAACCCAAAAAAGAGTGTATGAGTTGTAAATCCATATCTCGATTTGATTTTTCTTTTTGTTGATTGGTTCGATAGTCAGGAGGGCCATCTTATGCTGTTGAATTAGGAAGAAGGGATGGCTTGACATCGACAGCGAGCAGCGTCACCGGAAAGCTTCCGCATCCAACGGACAATCTGAACCGGCTCAATGCCCTCTTTGCATCTCATCGCCTCTCTCAAACTGACATGATCGCTCTTTCTGGTAATTCAAACCAACTCATAATGGAGTACCTCATTTATTTACTTATTTATTCCATAGTTCCAATTACTGTTGTAGTTGTGTTCTAGGAAAAATTATGCCCATATAGTAATATTTTTAGGTATGTGGAGGTCCTACTCTCTTTAGTTTTTTTGTTTTTTCAAAATTTTCCACACCAATATGTTTATTACTTTTATTTTTCTAGTTTTTGGTTTGTATTCTAGTATGTTAACTTGGAGGTATTTTAGCGGTCAGTTTGATTTTTCAAATATTGCACAACCGTATAATGGGAGGTATGATGTTTGGAACATCAGATCGGGTGGCATGTGAACGTTTTCAGCAGACCTAGTGGTCTAATGTTCCTGACATCAGACCGCTCAATGGATATGTGGCCCGATGTTATAGAAAATGGACCTCTTGCAGCCCAGTGTCACAAATATCGGGCCGCTCATCACTTAAAAGAAAATCTACAGACCAGTCAAATATTAGCAACATGAGACAATGCTAAAGTGAAGTTTAGGGCAATCCAATTTTTAGACCATTGGACCCATCCATCATATAGCTCTAACCCAAAACGGTCTGATCATGTAAACATCAAACTAGGGGTAAAATTGAAAAAAAAATAAAATAAAAACCAGAGTAGGACCTCCACATAGATAGAGGAAAGTTGCATTATGCTATTATACCAAAAAAATATTATGTAATTTTTCCTGTATTTTATAGATAATCAACAATTTGCTTAAATAAAGTAAATGTTTAAAAAAATAGAAAGTATACAATAGGACTATCCAAGTACGAGATGGTCACAATTAATCTTGACCATTATGAAATTGGGTGGCTGCATTTATTTCGTTGGCCAAGTTCAAAGTTTGCAAGAAATTTTTTCGAACTTTGTGACACACTATCAGATTTCACATTGAATGGTGATAAGTAATTGTTATCTCCTTATCCTAATGGTAAATGGTCACTTTATGCAACTCTAAAAAAAAAAAAAAAAAAAAAAAATGATGGGTGTGCTAGGATCTTATTTGGAGTTTTGTACTTAGATTTTATTAAATAAATTGTGGGGATAATTTGGTTTCATTTTCACGTTCCGCCTCCTTTGTTTGGATTTGTTACTGGTGGCTTTGACCATGAAATGGTGGCGGCTCACAAAGGATTACTTGGAATGGTGGCGGTTCACATAGGATTACTTGTAGAACTTAAGATCCAAATTTGGTTATTTGCTAAATAAAAAACTATCTTAATGTCCAGGCCTTTCTCTCCCCCTTCCCTTCCCCCTATTTCTCAAGTGTGCACACAAGAGAGTAGGGGTGGCAACGGGCCGGGCTGCCTCTAGCAAGTCCCTAAGGTGGTCCAGGCCCGACCTGGCCCTGATAGGGCTAAAAAAGCTCTGGCTCAAGCGAGACCCTAGTCATGTCGGGGCCTGACCCGACCTATCCCTACTGTCAATCCATGGTTGCCCATCCCAGGCCTTAGTATTTTAGGGCAGGGCTGGGCTAGGCGACTGGCCTATTGCCACGCCTATCACAATGTGTCACACATACATACGCAGCACATTCGCTGAAACCACATACATACTCATGTACTCTTGCAAAGTCTCTCTCTCAAACGCATGTGTAGATCATGCCAAGTGATTAAGATTTTAAGTTTCTAATAACCTACACACGCATCACAGCTGCACACACAGTTGGGTTCTCCCACTGTGGCAAATTCTCGAACCGGATATACAGCAACCCGATCGACCCCACATTGAACAAGACGTATGCAAAGGAACTGCAAGATATGTGTCCTAGAATCGTCGATCCTCGGATCGCTATCAACATGGACCCGATCACACCACGGAAGTTCGACAACGAATACTTCAAGAACCTCCAAAAAGGGATGGGCCTCTTCACATCTGATCAAGTCCTCTTCACTGATGCTAGATCCAGACAAACAGTAAACACATTTGCACAAAGCTCCACAGCTTTCTTCAATGCCTTTGCCGCTGCCATGACTAAGTTAGGAAGGGTGGATGTTAAGACAGGAAATCAAGGAAACATTAGAATAAGATGTGATGCTTTCAACTAGATTCCTCCTCTCTCTTTTTCCTTAAAACTTCTTGGTTTGTTTTTTCAACTGCAAAAGTTGAATAATTTGCGACTAAGTCGCACCTATGTCATATGTTGTAGTTTGGATCCTCGAGATAAATAAAGACCCATACACTAATAAAGAATGGCAGGTTTCTTAAACAGACTATTCCAACTCAACATTTATCATGAGGACATTGATGTGTTTCCATGGACATTTGTTTTGTAGGAAAAAATTATGCTTAAGGAAAAGTATAGAACGAGGCCATTTACCTTTGATATAATGTGGTTATAATTAATCTTGACCATTGAATTGTTGTATTTATTCTTATGATTAAGTTCAATTTTCAAAAAAAAATTTCTCGAACTTTGTGACATACATTAACTATGAGATTTCACATCTGATGGTTATAAGTAATTGTGGCCTCCCTGTACCAAAAGAAAAAAAACTCCTTACATGCATATTTGAAAGTACTTTTCCGTTAGATTACCACTTTCTCATGCTTGTTTTCCTTGAGTCTGCGATCCGCGAATCTTTATGAGAAAGTGGCTTCATACATAGTTTGGTAAATAAACATATTTTCAAGGTTTCATACCGTCTGTTCCCACCATTAAAATGTAAAAATAAAAAAATAAAAAATTTCTTTTCTTCAAGGAGTCAAAAAGCTCCCTCATGGAACAAACTTTCTCAACTACTTAAGCGAGCAAATAATTAAGAGCTGGCTTATTGGACAAACACTTTAATGCTTAACAGCACTATTTCTCTCACTTTTCTCTTAATATATAATAATAATATATGGAAATCAAGCAAAAGCGAAAGCTCCCCAAAATGAAACATAAATATCGTCAATAGAATGAGTTAGGTACCCATTTTATGGCCATTGTTTTAATTGAGAGTCCTTTATGGCCTTCTTTTTATGATTTTGAACCAGCGGAGTTTTAAATTTTCGCTTTTTCTGCCCTATCCGAATTGAACTTGAGGCATTGTAGAGGGGCAAATGATGAATTTGCCCCCATTTTTAATTAGGGAAAGGAAAAAATCTGTACCGACTTTATTTTTTAATAGAAATATGGTTTCATCCAAAGTTTAGAGAATGATCTGCAATATTCCTCTTTTTTCATGATTTTATTTTTCTATTTCCCGCTTTTGACTAGACCGCATTTTTCTTTTATTTTTTTCCTCTTGTGGCTATTGGATCAATCGGATGTGAAGGTATGAGACCAACCCATTTCTGAGGTAGTCGATATTGTAAACATCAAAATAGCCAATTTTTGGCTCT